GGGGGGGGGGGGGGGGGGGGGGGGGGGGGTACTCATAGTCGTGCATGCCGTAGTCGGTAGACCACTGACCTCGCATCCCTACAAAGCTGTAAGCGCTGTGTAACTGCCTCGAGGGTGTTTGACCAATTTAGCACGACGTGTTGCGATGATCCCCTTTGCGAGGAAAGAAAGTTCTCAACCCCGCACAACATATTTTGCTCGACCACCATTTATGGTTAAAAAAAAAAGCAAAGGCGAAAAAAAAATCGGTAACCTGGTTGCCGAGTTCACGAAGTGATCGGCTTGTTTTACAACGTCGTTGTCACGCGACGAAAACCCAATCCCGATGGCAAACACCGAGGGAGGGCTTGTTTCACAACGTCGTTGCCAAGCGACGAAAACCCAACCCCGATGGCAAACATCGAGGGGGGGGGATGGCAAACACCGGGGGGGGGTATACTTCCAACTTCTCTGTACATAATGCGCGCCTCGCTGGGGACCAAGGTTTGCGTCCGGGTACCCCAATGCGCGAGCTAGAATGCACTCTTACGGCCACTCGAGTCATCACCACAAAACGGACACGAAATAGCACGTTTAGACCACCTAATCCGCTCAAAGTGTGTGTGAAACGAAGACGCTAGTAGCACACGATGGGCCAATCATATGTGGCTTGCGTAAAGTGGGCTCTACACACCACGAAACCAAATTGTAAACAATGCCTCAAGTATTGTTTTCGGCCCTTCGCCGGAGGCACGGAGGGGCAACCTAGGTGTGAGGGACTACTGTTTTCAGGTACCAATAGTAGCGATGATAAATTCGTTCCTTTGTTGGGTTGCACATTATTTCTACTTCGGCATTGCTCTCGTGCTTTATGCAGTTACGCTCTCCAACACGAGATCCTTTGGGCCAGTCATGTAACAACCGCGGCACTCCTTCGTACCCCAGAGGACTCAAACCTACATCGCACTGAGCAGCGAACTGAACGTTGGATGTCTCTCTCGGCAAGGCAAGGCAACGCACATGCCGGCATGTGTTTCCCACTGAACCCGACGGAGAGGCATCGCCCACAGCATCGTACTCTCACCTGGCAATCCCCTACGCATTCGCTCATGTCCACACCTCTCTCGGCAGTAAGCAGCACCTTGTGGATAATCATGACCTTATTCGGCGTGAAGACGCCCATCACCCCCTCTGAAACGCCACGTTCTCCGCTCACGAAATGCTTCGAGCAAGACCCGCGGTTGGGGTTGCCATCTGATTCCCAAAACGAGTGCAGCTGCTGCAGGATCGACACCATCGGCTCCTTGGTCGAGAACTTCCAAGCAAAAAAGAAAAATGGCACACGACGCAAGAGGGCATCAGAGGAATACAGCCATACTGCGATGGCCGGATAACACGCGTCGTTCAACAGCCACCTGCTAACTGACGCACGCCAAGAAATGGTTGATGGTTCCAAACAACATCAACAGCGTCTCAAAGCGTTGGACTTGTACGGGCAAACAACTGATCTTTGGTTTATAATGCCCACAAAACGCAAGGGGTACTGTTTGTGAGGAATATAACTCGTAAGCACATGAGGGCATGCTCTCCACATGTACACCGAATGAACTGGATAGCTAGCCCACGAAGCGATCCAGGTATTTTTCGGGCATTTTAAGGTCAACCTCTACGCGTTGGAGGGAGAGTGGGTTGCTTCCCAGACCAAACATATTCGGTCGCTGTTCTGCTACACAACTCCCCGCTCGACACCCGAAAGACAAAACTAAACACTAAACGGCGTGAAATAGAGGGGAGGCGGAGGTAGGGTCGTGAACAAAGAGATCCAAAGGAGGCAGCCTTATACAGGCGAGTCCGGGGACACAAGACCCTCCACCCGCCACATGAAAAACGAAAAAAAAGTTTCATGCCAAAGCAGGTGATCAAATTTGTGCCCATGCATACACGGTCGTGCGCTGAAGGCACACACACACGTAGCTGAGCCCGCAGACCACAACCACTTTATCACTCTAATTCTCTATGCTGTGACTCTGCACTCACTTTGGAACGCCTCCATCGGGCCAGCAGGCCTTCATGTGGCCTTTCAGGGTCGCCACGTCCATGCCGAACAAGTCACCGATCGCCTTACCCTCCAGCCTCTCAATAAGGAGAGCGCCATTGCCTTGCTCAACGAACGCGGTGTTGTTGCTTCCCTGCAACACCCTACGCTGTGTCTTGTGGAAGATCACCGACAGTCGGATGTCTGGCGACACCCACGCTGGCGCGTTTCCAACCGTCTCCCCGGCCCCGACCACAAACTGTACCCTTGTGCCGCCGAACCAGGCCGGCGATACCGTGCTCAGCTGCAGAGGACTCATGACGAGGGTCAGTGTTGATGTCTTGCTCGGGTCTCGACGCGATCACCTGCCCCAGAGTCACCAAACTGCAGGCGATCGTCATGCAGGCGTAAAGTGAGGATCGGCGGAAACTCCCCCACATCCAGCACCGAAACTCGAAAGCGTGGTCGATGAGGGCCAGGAACGCCAAGAAAATGTTGTTGAGCACGTTGAGCAAGTTGGTGCCGTTTGCGAGCCTGGACGTGGAGGTCATGCGCAAAGAAAAAAAAATCGGCAAAATGCGGTTGTTTGGCACTACACACGTCCTGTTCAAAATTCAACAAGAAACTAAGCCTGTACCAAGCCCCCCCCTCGATGCAATATGAACACATTTTTCGACAACAACGAACCGCTTTGCATGCTAGCAGAGTAGTTTGGGCGCTACGGATTTTATCTTCTAACAGTCAAGCATGCCCGCGGGGGAAATGGTACAATACGTGGTGCCTTCAATTCCGGAAAGAGCAATATCTTCAGATCGCCAGCTTACAAGGATACCGAATTGGAAAACAGGATCGATTTTTATCTGAGCTAAAGCGAAGTGAGGAGCCCTGGTAGTTTCGGTATCCAATGCGACCATGCCATATTTTCCGCTGCGAGTTACGCCTCAGTAGCTTGCTACACCGCTAGTTACACAGCGATTGGTGAGTAGGATGACTATAATAGGTGGGCCTTGACAGACATATTTATATAGCAACGTGGAGCATTAAATTTACCTTTTGCTGAGATCAGGGTTCGCCTTGATCCAGACCAGGTCACTCGCCAAAGGTTCTAAAAACGTTTCGACGAAGGCGCTTAATGTCGTACCCCTGGTGAACGCCTCCAGGCATCTGCACAGGATAAACAGCTCCACAAGGTAACTTTTGTTGTAGTTGAACAAACCAGTCTCCCGCCAGTTGTCACTGGCCAGTCCGTGGATGGCGGACGTCTCACACTCGTTTTCGTGCACGTTCATTTTCGACATGCCTGGCCCCTGTAACAAGACACACATAGCATGTTTGCAGACCGATATTTCGTACTCGGCGGGTAAATCTCGCATGATCACCAGCGATTTCGTTCAGGATGGCGACTCCAGGATTTTGGGGAAGGTCGGGCGATTGTCACCGATGCACCCCTCTTTAATTAGCATTCGGGAGAGTGTGCACGGCCTGTCGATACCCACAAACATGACGTGGGGGTGCCCACCCCATTTTCTCTGATTTCCGCTGCCATCAAACATGGTACTCGACAGCTGGCGCCAACAGCATGAATGCTGCCACAAGCACCACCACAACAAGAGAAACAACTAAAAGGTAGCCATACAGTGCGGGTACAGTGCAGGCGTAGGACATTTATGTAGCCTGCCCAGGAGTGGATGAGAGTGGGGGCATCTGAAATGTTTGCCTCCGGCACACACACTGTCGACTTCGCTCATACCCACAAGGCGAGCCGCATGCTGAGCAGGGTACTGCCACAAGTTCCCACAGAGATGCTGCAATCACCTCTGTCAACCGAGTTGCAACCACGGTATGCTGATTCTCCGTCGGGAAGTCACGACCACACCCTGAACACGTATTCTGAGATGTAGTGTAAGTGATGCTGGCGTTTGCGTTCGTGGTGGCACCGCGACGTCCCAGGCCAAAAGGAAGGTCCTCCGGGAACTTGCAGACCGACATGGTGTTCAGGCAGTTTGCCAAGCCCTTACGATACGCCGGTGCACCCTTGTCGAGCATTTTCTGCGCCGTGCGCGGCGTTCCGTCTGGAACTCTACCTCCATCCACGTCTACCTGCCCGACACCCAACCCGTCATCTCGCATACCCTCCTCTTGCCAAAGCGCCAGGGCGACCACCAACGTGTGATGACACTTTCGGTTCTTGTTCTCGTACTCGCTTCAGGGTCGCCCCCGGTTTGCCTGTGCCGGGTACATGTGCGACGTATGCATATGTCATTGGTGCAAACGCATTTTGCGGAGGGATATTAGATTGGAAAAGGTACCAAACGGTGGCACCTTGAGGATAGCGCAATCGACGGTGCTTACCCCCCACACAATGTGAGCACAATGTCGTACTCCCCCCCCGTCATTTCGGCAAAAAGTTGTCAAAGCGTTTTTTGTACTCCCGGGGGTGCTCGTTTTTCTAGACCCAGCTGATGGTACTGCTATACAATTGGGTGTGGAAAAATGAGTATACGCCACGTAGATGGAGGGAAGGAGTGGTTGTGAACTTGTTCAAGAAAGGAGACAAGACTGACCCAGGAAACTACAGGGGGATCACACTGTTGAACACAGTAGGAAAAGTGTTCTGTAAGCTGCTGAACGATAGGATAGTGGGAGTATTGGAGAAGGAACATAGCATTAGTGAGGGCCAGGCAGGTNAAAAGGGCATACGACACCGGTGAAAAATGGAGAAATGGGCTGTGGAAACAACTGTCCAAATACGGGATCAAGGGGAAAATGTGGAGAGTGCTGAAGAAGATGACAG